TTGATCTTAATTGAAGTTTGTTTGCCTTCTCAATTTGTCATCGCAAATAATTTTGGTCCAAATTTTTTGTTCTCTATCTAGGGGCTATTTTTGTGCCTTCTAGCATAAGTTTTAGTCGGGTGACTCAACGTTGAATTCGTCGCATCAAGACGATTGTAACCACAATTTTGTAGCTCAACTAAATTTCGTTTCTCTATTCAATTTTTCGTCCAAAATAATTTAAATTTGTTTTATTTTTGTCCTAATTCTAGTTTTGTCTCTCGTCAGTTTCAAATGTGATCTACTGTTGAATTCTGCTCGTCAAAACGATCATATACCGGAAATTTCAGACCAATGGGAGTTTGTTTGCTAAATCAATTGTCCGTCTAAAATTATATGCATAAACTACATTTTTGGCCCGTGATTGGCCAAAATCAGCCCCTATCGAGTCCATAATAAATATAAATAAATCTACCTTTATCATACCACTAATAATTAGTTTATCTTATTTGATAATTTTTTAAATTAATATAATAAATTTAAAAAAAAAAAAAAAGTATACTTTTAATAAATAAAGTAGACAAAAAATGAAATTATGTTAGCCTAAATAAACATTGCTTTGAGGTACATCACCTAGCTCTCGTTGATTTATATGTTAGGTTATAACAAAACTCAGCCAAATAGTGAGATGTGTATGATGTTAAATTTTATTATGTGTAATGTCATATTCAAAGTCAATAGTGTTATTATTTACATAAATACTATGACATATATAGTGATATTGTTTTTAAAAGTAATTTACAATTAAATATATTACTAAATATAATTAAACAATATTGTATACATTAAAAAATGCTTTTATCATTATTACACTAAGGTTTAATTATAACTTGAGCCAAAATCTATATATATTGGTTAGCCAGTATCAGATGATACGATTTATGGAGGCATCATTCTATATAAATGTCAATGCAGAATGTCTTAATCCTACGTGTTGAATTTTGGTGCTTCATAATTCTATTTGTTGAGTTTTTTTCTTCGTAATTTACGTCCAATTTCTTGTAATCCATGTAGATATGAATTCTATTCATACCTATTAGAACTTTTAAAATTATAAAATACTTTATTAACTTAAATTATAAATATATTAAAAAGTTAGTAAAATCTATATTTGGTATCAATTTTTCATATATAATCATCTTTTGATGAGTTTCGATTTGATATTCATGTTGCATATATAAAATAAATAAATAATTTTAATTATCTTTAATAAATCATCCATTAATATTTAATACTGATTAAAAATTAATAACATTATATATCAATTAATAAAGTTATATATGTTGCGCAAATTTCCCTTTGGTCCGGTCTGATTCGTAATATGTTGATTTGAACCACCTTTGATCTCCGATGACCTGCAAGGCATCGGGAGAGGTCCCGGCGGAAAGCACTCAAATGCTCAAGTCAGTTGACGTTCAACAATAATGCGGCAACAATGTATATTTGTGCGTGTATGTGTATTGTGTTAATATAAAAAACATGGATTCCCTTTAATAATTAGGGTTACCTAGGAGTAAGAGACTCTTAGTATGGCAAGAAGTCTTCCTGTATCTTCCTCCCTAATTCACTAAATCTCCCCATATCTCTAGTCTTCTTGTTGATATACACTTCCCATGTTTCAGTGATTCGGTTTCCTTCTTCTGCACGACTCAAATCTAATGTGGTCTCTGCATCCTCAAGGCCTTCCAAGTACGTTGAGGTCGTCACACTGTTCTCGACCTCTATCGGGCTACCTCGAAGTGATCCTACCACTAGCCGAGCGAAATGCTCCGATAGATCCTCCTACCTCCATTCTGTACCCTGATCCTTGCGGGTCATGCCCGCACTACCGAAACGAGCTCTCTTCAATCACACAACGACCTTTTTAGTTCGAGCTAGTGCCAAGCTGATCTAAAGGGGAAAAACCTAACCCCTTCTCTCAGTGAGGGCGACCTCGACAATCCGAGTGATATGTCCAGGCTGAAGGTCGTCAGTAAACCCAGAAGTCCCGAGGGCATCGTCAGACCTCAAGGGTCTTGAGGTCGTTGCCTTTTCCCCATAATTCGACCTGCCTCAGGTCTCTTATCCCATATCCGATCCTCATCGAGCTACAACCTCAATGGTTCACGCGACCTACATTGCCTTGCTGTATCAATCTATATATTATTATATTAATTTAATTAAAAAAATTATTGTAAGTAAGAATGACAAATTGTGCAAGTGAAAAATTCATTTTAAATATAAATAATAATGCAATTTTTTAAAAAGTATTAAAAGTTTTAATAAAAAGATTTCTCTCTTACATTGTAATAATGTAGTTTACAAAAAATTATTAAAATTTAAGTAAAAAAATTTCTCTTATATTTTTTTTTTAAACTAGTATTCGTGCAATCATGTGTTGATTAATTCATAATTATTTATGAATAATAAATTAATACGTATTCTAAAACAAATACAGTTGAAATATGCGTCAATATAATAATTTATGGATGACTTCGTGATCGACGCTATAAAATCAATGATTGTTTACATTTTGATAGTTGGTATTAGGGTTGCAAACGAGCCGAGTTGAGCATTGGCCTTATCGAGCATGATTGATTTTTTTTTTAGCTGTTCGAGCTCGTCGAGCTTGATTTTTGAGGCTCGAGCTCGACTCGATAAAAAATTACAATAGCTCGAGCTCGGTTCAAAATCAAAATGCTCGAGCTCGGCTCGAGTTCGGCTCGAAAATTTTTAAGTGGAAAGGTAAGATTACCATTAAGGACCTATGACAAAATATATATAAAGAGGTATTTTAGTAATTTACGTGTATCTCAAGCCGCTCGACAAGGCAAAATATGGGCTCGAGCTCGACTCGAGTTCGTGCTCGAGCCGCTCGAGCTTGACTCGGGTTCGGTCAAACTCGAGCTCGAGTCGAGCTTTGACTCGAGCGCTCGAACCGCTCGGTTCGTTTGCAACCTAGTAATGCATACACATAACTTATTATTGAAGTGTGCATCCAGCTTAAAATAAGGTATACATTCTTTTTAACCAAACATGTAAAATCAAATGTCTACTAACTTTAGATTAAATTGCATTGTTGAATTGGGAAATCTAAATAGGTATCTGAATAATGTGGTAAGTATGTACTATGTAGCATGCCATTTTCTGTATGGGAATTCCCACAAAGTTCTTGAAGGATGTGCACCCTTTTATATGAAGTTTCACCAATCATCCCCAGTTGAAAAAGCTGAAAAATTAAAAGAGGGTAAAAAAGTAAAGAAAAGAAAAAAAGCTCCAATTACCCGGCTATCATTCCATGTCTATCTTCCTTTTCTACTGTCAAAACTTTCCTTTTAATTATTTTATTTTTTTTATCTGTATATTTAAAAATTGTGATTCTTTAACATTTGGAGGGAGTGGAAAACAGCAATCATTGACACAGCAAGACCCCTTCATGCCCATCTTCATCTTGCCCCTCCTTTAATCAT